ACTTATAATTAATCAATTATGTATTGGCCGTTTTGTTCGACCACTAATGACCACCTCTCGGGCAGCTGCATAATTCCGCGCTCGAAGAACTTTTGATCTTTTCCAGCAAAGAATCGAGACAAGTGGTTTTCGACAGCCTTATCTGAATGTGAATGTGCTATGTCCGCACTATAAGGTGGATGTGGAAGCACTTCCCAATTCAGCTCCGTTAATTTTTGCCGAGTGACCAAAGATGTGTGGGGCCTAGCGTTTTCATGGTGAAAGACTATACCCTTGCGATTAGCTAGTGCCGGCTCCCTTTCCTTAACTTTTTTTCCGCCAAATTGGATAGCTGGCGACAGTACACATCTGAATTGATGGTTTCATTCCGTCCCAGCAGCTCAAAATGCACTACACAACCACAAATGCGGAGATTCATAAAAATGCGCAACACTACCAGCGTTGCGCCTTCTACGTCTCCCAATCCCGACCCAAAAAACTAACCCACTACCTAGGTATATCCTTTCAGAATGCAAGAGGCTTTCGTAGTAAGCTTTCTAACTGGTATTCTGATTACCTTAGAGCGCTTGCTCGATCTTTGTTGTGTTTATGATCCGGCGAGTTTAGGCAGGGTGGCGTCTCTGACGCAAGATCCCTATCCATTGCTGAACGCGCTGTGTTATAAAAACTGTTTAACTCGTTGCATGGTCCAGTTACCACTGGACCTACAACAGTTCTATAATTTTTTTTAACACTAAACGTAAAACTAAAACAAATCCTTCTTGCTGACACTTAAAAATACTACCAAAATTAATGAACACACAATAGCCGATCTATTTTTGCAGTTTTTTCAAGCAGCTTATTCAACTCTTCGGATTCGAAACAGGCTTTTTCCTCCTTCGTGTCCCAATCAAACATAATATTTAGTCCTAGCTTAAAAACGATCTTCATCGCGTCAAGAAAGTTTATTCACCAGGTCCCGAAGGAATTCCTGACTGTGTGTTTAGGTATTTTGCAGAAATTGTTTACCTTAGAAACCACCCACTTTCCCTTATTCGAAAGAAATCGTTTATTATTCCTTTTCACAAAAAAGGTACCAAATTGGATGCTAGCAATTATAGAGGAATCTCTAAGTTGACGGCCATCCCTAAACTATTCGAAAACATTATTACTCCTCACATGCAGCACCTTTGTAGATCAGTTATTTCTCCATGTCAATATGGTTTTATTAAGCGAAGATCAACAACAACAAATCTTTTGGAGCTCTCTTCCTATATTATAAAGGGCTTCCATAATAATTGTCAGACAGATGTAATCTATACTGATTTCAGTAAAGCATTTGACTCTGTTAACCATTCTCTCCTCGTTAGAAAACTCGATTCAATGGGTTTTCCAAGTGATCTTCTTAATTGGATCTCAAGTTAACTGAATGGCAGGACGCAAAAGGTCCTCTTAAATGGCTTGAAATGCAAGCTAATGACATTCTCTCGTGTCGTTCCTAAGCTTGCCACTTATACGTTGAACTGCTGCTCTTTATAGAGAATTGAATTGAATTGATCAGTTGGACGTCCGCTTGGACCCTAAACTTGACTTTATCGATTATTTTTCGTATATGGTGAATAGAGCCAGGTGTTTGCTTAGATTTATTAAACGGTGGTCGAAGGAATTTAATGACTCCTAAATAACTAAATCCTTTATACTTCTTTAGTTCGTCCTATCTTAGGATATGGTTGGTGCGTTTGGAGCCCTTATCGCCCACGCATCAAATCGGTTCTAAAGAACTTTTTACTTTTGATCTCCGCAGTTTAAATTGGGATACAAACAGCTGTTTGGGAATAATAAATTGGCGGCAAATTGCTTTGTTTACTTGTTTGCGTGAAAATAAATATTCTTTGTCCGAACAAACTGTTGATAGTAATAGAAATTTTAAATCAAGGTATGTATTTTTTACTGAATATAGTATGTTTATGTGTAGTCTTAGTGTTAGTGTTTTGTTAAAAAAATAGAAAAATAACATGCGTCACTTGTGTTTCGTGTATAAAACGGCTGCTGACAAAAACTAATTACGTCAGTTTATACTAATATATGTCGTTCTTTATCGCTAATTAACAACTTTGCAACCGTTGAACTATGCTTTTCAAAACCATTATCTATAACCTCATTCATGGTGATGTGGAAAATGCTGACTTATTGAGTCTTCCCAAACTAAAAGCTTTAATTCAAACCCACTTAGTACACATGGTAATTTCCTCCCATTGTTTTTGCGGGCCTAGGAAGAGTTATTTTTTATAGCTGACAATGGCAACTCTGCCCAGAATTTAGTGTAGCATTGAGTCAAAAAGTTTGTTACTTCGTTCGTTTGTTTTTTCGGCTCTGATTTTTCCTTAAATAAAGTCGATAACATCTTCCGATGTTTGAGCAGGAAAGAGCCGGGAAGCAAATATCTGTTTTGTAGTTGGAACTGCTATAAGAACTTTTTGGCAAGACAGATTATCGGCCATTATCGGCCGTTAGTTTTTATTTAAGACCCCCAGGGGACAAAACGGATATCACCAGCAGCACGGGTAATTTCGCGGTAAATTTGGGACTGCGAGAAGCTGTTGCGACAGTCAAATATAGTCTTCCTTACGTACCAGATTATGCGTGTATCATTTGTTTTTGGCTTTGCGAACTGCAAATGTCGAGATACTGTAGGTTTTACTTACAAAATGTAGAGTATTTCTTGTTGTTTGGTCTAGGGTATATATTTTTGTATTTTCAAGCTGAATATAAAATAAACTACTTGACAGAGCCGTAAATTTAAACAATTTATTAATATTATTATTAATATTAATAAAATCCATAACTTTTCCTGTCTACTAAAATACATTCTGGTATATTTGAGATTATTTTTGGCAAATGATCGGTATCTACCGTGTTTTCTTTGGGAAACTTAACCTTTAAATATAACTAAAAGATAAATACAAATTAAGTGAAAAATAGTTTAACTTTGTGATTGCAACGGATATATAATCCACTTCTCAAATACATCGAAACATGAATAAAAAAAAAAAATAAAAATAAAAAAAAAAAAAAAAAAAAAATAAATAAAAAAAAAAAATAAAATAAATAAATAAAAAAAAATAAAAAAAAAATAAAAAAAAATAAAAAAAAATAAAAAAAATAAAAATAAAATAAAAATAAAAATAAAAATAAAAATAATAATAAAAATAAAAATAAAAATAAAAATAAAAATAAAAATAAAAATAAAATAAAAATAAAAATAAAAATAAAAATAAAAATAAAATAAAAATAAAATAAAAATAAAAATAAAATAAAAATAAAAATAAAATAAAAATAAAATAAAAATAAAAATAAAAATAAAAATAAAAATAAAAATAAAAATAAAAATAAAAATAACAAGAAAGAAAGCTAACTTCGGCACGCCGAAGTTTATATACCCTTGCAGATAGAACTTCTGTGAATAGGAATCCATACAATATTAATTATATATATTTGTGTTAAAAAACAATGAAGTAATACCTGCTTTCATTTCATTCACCTATACATATTATATTTGCAATTTTACAGTCACAGATTTGCATTTTTCCTCTACATCAAACGATCGTTTGTATGGAACCTATATAGTAGTATAGAACCTATAGTCGTCCGATTTTCATGAAATTTGCCACAAAATTTAAGACTTATATTAAATGGCTATACCTCAAATTTGATGAAAATCAGCTGAAAACTGAAAAAGTTATAAATTTAATTGTATTGATTTCTCGATCGTTCCTATGGGAGCTATATGATATAGTAGTCCGATTTTCATAAAATTTTATACAAAATTGTAGAGTATAGTAAGATCGCTATATCTCAAATTTGAGCCAATTCTATTGAAAACTGAAAAAGTTAAAATTTTTTTTGTAAAAATTTTCCGATCATTCCTATGGAAGCTATAGGATATAGTCGTCCGATCCGGCCCGTTCCGACATATATACGAGTGAGAGTATATAGAAGGCTAACTACAAAGTTTCATTCAGATAGCTTCAAAACTGAGAGACTAGTTTGCGTAGAAACGGACAGACGGACAGACGGACAGACGGACAGACGGACAGACGGACAGACGGACAGAAGGACAGACGGACAGACGGACATGGCTAGATCGACTCGGCTGTTGATCCTGATCAAGAATATATATACTTTATATAGTCGGAGGTGCCTCCTTCACTGCGTTGCAAACTTCTGACTGAAATTATAATACCCTGCAAGGGTATAAAAACAAGAAATGAAGAAGATAACATACCCATGCAGATAGAACTTCGATCACTCTATGAATTAATTAAATATAAATTTTATATATACTAAAAAGCAATAAAGTTATGCCTGCTTTCATTTCATTCACTTGTACATATTATATTTACAGTTTTACATTCACAGATTTGCATATTTCCTCTATATTCAATGATCGTTTGTATAGTCGTCCGATATTCATACAATTTTACACTAAATTGTAGAATAATATGAAATGGCTATAACTTAAATTTGATGAAAATCTGTTGAAAACTGAAAAAGTTTGTTTTGGCAGCTATATATATGATATATTAGTCCGATTTTAATTCAATTTTACACAAAAATTGTAGAATAGCATAAAAGTCTACATCAAATTTGAGGAAAAACTGTTGATAACCAAAACGGCCACAAGAAACGGCCACCTACTAATAAAAACGAAAAATGAACTTCACGCCAAAAACTTCTAAAACTAACAACCATTGCAGAAATGAAAGTAACAACATCTAAATTTTAAGTTTTTTATAAAATTGTAGAAAAATGTAATAAAAATCTGTTGAAAACTGAAGAAGTTTTAATTTATTTCGTAAAAATGCTCCGATTGTTCTTATGGCATCTATATGATATAATCGTCCGTTCCGACATATATACGAGGTGAATTATATAGTAGACTGCAAAGTAAACCTTTCAGATAGCTTCAAAACTCAGAGACTAGTTTGGGTAATAAGATTTAATACAAATATGTAACTTACCGCTTGTTGCCCTCAAAGTCCTCTAGTTCTATGCGTAACGTATATTCTTCGTTATTTGTCAACATATATATATTTTCGTTGCCAAGCCAAAATTCTTTGCCTGGTTCTCCAAATCCATTTTTATAATCTGACCAATCCCGATTGAAGTTCTCCCGGGGCTCACCAAACTCATCTCGACGTTGTATCACCTAAAGGGTTAATTTCTATGTTTTTATTTATTTTATATTTTAAATATATTATTTTACCGTCCAGCCGCCATCAGTTGTTTCTTGATCACAATACACCTTTAAAAACCAATATGTAGTTCCGCGAATTTGTAAATAAAATACTCCGGATTGTTTCATTCCAGCACTCAGCAGATCAGCACAGGAAAATCCCTAAAATTACAGAATAAATTTAAAAGAATAAATGCCTTATCCTAATCTATAAAATAGATCGGGATTATATCGTAGAGTTCATAAGAAATTAGCACATTGCGCGGCAAAAAGTTCAAAATATTTTTGTCTCGTTACATTCCCTAACTTTTTGCTACTTAATCGCTTTACAAAACATCCCATTCATAATTAAAAAATCTGTGGACATTGCTTGCGGAGGGGTATAGAAACATGCAAGAAACGGCCACCTACTAATAAAAACGAAAAATGAACTTCAAGCCAAAAACTTCTAAAACTAACAACCATTGCAGAAATGAAAAAAACAACATCTAAACACAAAAGGGAGTAATTTTTCGAAACCACTTAAAATACATCGACGACGGACCGATTCTTAAGGAGCTAAAACCACAAAAGGTAACCGAAGTCAAGTAAAAATAATGAAAAGACAAAACCACACCTCTAACTTAAAAAAGAAATATAACATCACCTTAGATGATACCGGCTTGATCATAATAACATTTGAGTTACCCAAAATTCCCGAATCGGCTACGAAATAGTTCGTGTACATCCCTATATAATATTTCTACTTCAATGCAAAAAATGCTTCGGCCACCCAACATCGATATGAAATGTACATATTTTTATAGACATGGCTTCGAACTAAGAACCATAGCAAAACGCCATGACCCAGATGACAACAAACTGTCAGTCCCCAAATGAACACACAAGCCCAACCCAACCTCACCACCAAGCAAATAGATCACTCCATCGAGGACAACAACAACTGGACTAGCCAAAACAATACTACCATTAAACCAAGTTCTTCAACAGCATTACTACCACAACTACGAACAACTAGAAGATTAACTAGAAGAAGAAATCGAGCTAGACCATAATCATCATAAATCAATAAAGACCTAAAAATACAAATCGTTCCTAAAGATAACTCTAATAGCCTACCTACGAACCTCAAAACGTGCAAATCAAAGGCGAAAGCTTTTAACAAAAATTAACACTAACAAAAGCGACAAATATAGTTAACTAAGTATGGTAAGTTAATAAGGAGCAGTCTATTAGACTAAGAAGGTAAAGAGGATAGAACGCTCAGTATAGTGGTACGTAATCTAGCAGCCACAACCTCTGTTGATACGATTGTACAATAGTTTAAAAAGCAAGGCCACTCAGTTGTCAATACGTACAATCCGAAATCAAGGCTTCCTCCACGGGTTAACTTTGATAGAGGAATTATTGCCCAGCCCAATAAGAAAGAGTGGTTTCAAAGCTGTCCCCTGCTCCTAACAATAGGGATGTCTGAAAGATCTCTAGAGTTGCACGGATGAGGGTGACAATTAAAGTACCCAGGAAGAACAAGACTCTAAGGCAGTGTTTTAGGTGTTTTGACTTCGACCACACAAAGAATTATTGTCTAAAGATGCCTGCGTGAGGACGTTGTTCACCCGAATACCTTACTGGCTTTATTCTGCACTTGGCGAATATTGAATATTGACAATGACAATTTTTGTGAAAACTGCCTGGGTAAACACGCAGCCTATGATCGAACTTGTCCTGTATATTCCCGTAAACTGAACAATATTGTCTCTGGGAATAACCTTGCAGCTCCACAACATCCCAGTTCCCGCAGTCGAAATCAATTTATACCGACCTAAACTGCCAATAAAGCCCCTGAATATGATCAAATTGACAATCGTGTTGCAAAAACTCCTACACCTTGTACCCATATTCAATGCTTTCCTTAGGTTGAGCCATTTTCCGAAAGCTTGGAAGAGTGCTTGAATTGTAATGTTCCTTAGCCCTGGCAAACCAGCCGACGACCTCAGCAGTTATCCACCCATTAGCCTTCTTACCAAATTTGGTAAGCTTCTGGAAATATTACGTCAGTCCCCACAGGCAATGAACGCTGTTCGGAGCAGACCGCTGGCGCCTAATTATGCGCGCATTGGTGTATCGCTGCACCTGCTGTGCTCTTAGCTCTTCTCTTTGTTATTTATTTCTCTCTCTCTCTTCTTCTTCTGTCGCCTTATCTGTTAAGCTAAGCTTCATTGTAAGCGAATATATGTTAAAGCCAAGCGTTCGCTCGGAAGTTGCAGCTCCGATGAAAGAGCAATAACACAAGAAAATAAATACGGCATATAATCGACCTATTTGTGCGTTAGTTATTATTGTTCAAGGGTGGCAAATTCGTTGTCATCCCAATAAACAAACACTTTTCACAAATTTTAACTTGGGGGATTGAGACTCAGGAATGGTACTTCTGGAGAGCTGCACGGTGCGGTTGAGTATACACTCGAGGGGTTTCACTGTAAGCAATACGTGGTGGCTGCCTATGTAGACATACAGCAAGAATTTGATTGGGTGTGGCATGCATGTCTATTTTGCAAGGTCGAGTCGTTAACTAACCCGCAACTATTCGAAATGGTTAGGAGCTGTCTCTCTGTATCCTTCGCCAAGCATACGAGGATAGTTAGGCCCTCATTGGAGGATAAGGCCAGAAGGCTGTACTTGCTGCTGAAGGCGAATAATCACCTCAGCCTGGCAAGTAAGGTCCGGATATACAAGTCCATACTTGCACCCACTTGGAGATATGGGATTCAAGTTTATGGTCATGTGGCTAAAACTAATCTGAGTCGCATCCGGGTCTTCCAAAACAAGTTCATGCGGAGAATTACTGTTGCTAAGTGTTTTTCCGCAACGTAGACTTAGCGAGGGACCTCAAAGTGCCCTTGATTGGGGACATAATAAATGAAGAAGCCAAACTCTATAGGAATAAGCTCACGTAACACTCAAATATCTTTGTCGGGAGACTTGCATCTCGGCGGACATGCCGAAGACTCAAAAAGATTCATCCCTCAACCTTCCAAGGAAGAAGATTTATTAAACACTGTTTAAGCTCACTGCCCCTTCAGACACCCAATTACCTACCTATAACCCTTACACTTTTTTAAATTTCCATTGCTACACTACAGTAACATACAATAATAAATTTAATTTAATTTTAAAAAAACTTCGTGCCAAAATTCAATTGCATTCTGATAGTGCGATCACTGCAAGCAAATCAAATATCGCCTGGAATGCAATAACTGTAAGTAGTTTGGCAGGGTCGATGGGGAAATGACCCCGATTCGCAAAGTTGGCAGATCCATGATTGTAGAGAAAAGTGGAATCTACATGAAGCTCCCCTTCGTTTCAAAATCGAAACAAGAAAGGAAGCTTACTTCGGCATGCCGAAGTTTACATACCCTTGCAAATAGATAATTGATCACAATGAATTAATGAAATATAAATTATATATATTAAAAAGCAATAAAGTAATGACTGCCTTTATTTTATTCACCTATACTTATTTATTTATTTATCGATCGTTTTTTCGGGAGCTATATGATATAGTCATCCGATTTTTCAAAAAAGTTCCTGCTTATCACCTTTAACTTCTCTTAAATGGGATATTATTAATGAACAAACCAAACAATATAGAATAAGCTCAAGTCACATCCAAATACCCTTGAAGGAAGATTAATTATACACTGTTGTAACTTACTGTCACTTCTTACACCCAATTAACCCAATATGACCCTTACACTTTTTTAAATTTCCATTGATCTCCTCCCCACACTTTTGTTTAAGTTGCGTCACTACAGTAATATATAATAAAAAATTCAATTAAATTGAAAAAAAAATAAAATAAAATACTCCAATGAACAACTGAATTAGCAGCAAAAATCCTCCAGCTGAACTCTCCACGGGGGCGTCGGCCTGGCAATAGGTAAAGTAGTGGCGCATGCTCTATCCGGTGTAATGCAGTGTCCAGCTAAGGCTTCTATTCAATTCCTTCCGCTTAAACGCCCGAGGAAATGAATCACTAGCCATGGTTGGAGCTGCCTGGCGGCAGTGGGTGGTTCCCCTGAAATAAACCAAACAAGCAACTGGGACTGGGATGTCATCCCAAACGTCGGTGGAAGGCGTGACTGCTACCACCGGCGGCACGTAAGGGAAGAGTCCTCTCTGCGGATCGTCATCTCTGATTTGACGGCAGCAGGTCACGTCAGTTGTAACGCTACTGCGCTACGACGCAAAGAAGGGTAAGCCGCACGTGTGCCGATGTCTATACAGACTCGGACCTAGAGAGCGTGCAGCTTTCAAAAGAGGAGGAAGAAATCTTTCTTCGCTCGCCAGAACCAGGCATCAGCTCCCTGCGCAGGGACGGGCCGATGCGTTCAAACGAGCGAAAGGAGGCTAAGGCGCAGTGTAAACCTGCCCATCGCATCCAGAGCCGGTTAAAGCTAAAAAAGGCCGAGCAAAGGATCGAAGAGAGCAGGCTGCACTTCGCTAAGCTCTTCAACCTGGCATCAACGGACGGTTTCGCCAACAATTCGGAGGAGATGCTTGCCACCAATCGGCAACGCTCCGCCGAGAGTGCTACAAACCCAAAGAATAGAAAATCGAGAAAGGCAAGTGAAGTGACCAAACGACGCTTGATCGTGCCACTCATTTACAGGAGCGATGAGAACGGAAAGATAGCCGAGGAGAAAAACCTAGGCCTCGAAACCATTGTCGACGCCGACCAGGAACTGACGCTGAATGAGTAAGAAGAGGAGGAAGGCGGTGACCTGAAGACAGTAGTCAAACCGTCGAGTGGAGTTAAGCCCGATACCCATGTTCCTAAGGGTGCTGCAGCTCCAACTCCAAAAGAGCTAGGTCGCGTCGGCGGAACATGGAGTGCCTAGGGCAATGCCGTCGCTGGACTAAAGTCCTCAAGCTATAAAGCGTTCTACACAACATAGGTAAGCAGGAACAGAACCGCCGTACTCGTACGGAAGGGTCTCCAAGCTAACCTTATGTCTCATTACAGCTCGGACGATCTGACTGTGGTGTTGGTAGAAAGCAAGAAAAAGCGCCTACTGGTAGCTTCCTGCTACATGGCATACGATAGGCCAGCTCCACCGGAAGAACTTAGGAGCCTGGTAGAACCCAGCCCAAATGACCAG